CTCGTAGCCAGAAGGTTATTAAATGAGTTTACCGTGAATTTCAGCATATAGGTGCACTAAAATGTAAGTGTCTGCTGAGTTGACCACGGAGATCTGAGTGTCTGCTGACTTTACCGCAGCGATGTCCAGTAGTCTCCAGGGAGAGCAACAGCTGGTGCAGCTTCTCTCTTTATTTCTGGGCTCCCCCCGACCAGAAGCTTTTCTCTACGGCAACCCTGAAGGGACATATCATCTCCAATACAAAACAATAAACATGAGACAGTCTGTTACAATAATAATAAATTAAAAATACTTGCCTGTTATTTTTTGTTTTTTAATTATTATTTTTTTTCCCATCTCAAAAGTCTTATCTGTCTAGTGCTGGACAAAGATTACAATTTTTAATTGCATGATTTTTTGCGATTGCATTGTTATGTGCAACATTCAATCATGAATTCAAAAGTAGTGTATTGCGCACTTATTTTAAAAGTACTGCTATATGAACACAAGTGCACTTTAAAACCCTTGTGTTGTCTTAGGGGTCAAAAATGAGCCGCCACTATGTTTAACAGCATAGGAAACTCCCTTAATGGTCTTTTTTCAACTTGAAATTCAATAACTTTTCCTAGAATGACCCCAACATGAGAAAAAGTTAAACATTGCCTTTGTTCATATTTCCATAAAAGCTATACACCAACAGGGTACAAATCTTGTCTTAGGGGTCATTTTTGACCCGGCAGTTATAAAATAATTTTCATACTACAGAAACTAAAAAACACACGACCACAACACACACACACACAAGAAATTGAGATTACGTGTGCTACTGATTGAACTCAGGGAAAACGAAAACTTTCTCGCGAATATGCAGCATCTCCCCTCCACGACCCCACACCTGGCTGAAGTTCACAGACAAAATATAAACATTTCTTGAAAGCATTGTTTACTAATGGGGAATGCAGTCAGAGGCTATAAGGGTGCTGCAGATGACAGTACCCCCAGACAACTGGAAATAATGGATGAGATTGACCTGCGTGCCTACATCGGGCTGCTAATCTTAGCAGGTGTGTATAGGTCCCGAGGCGAGGCTGCACCTAGTCTTTGGGATGCAGAGAGTGGAAGGGCGATTTTCCGTGCAATGATGTCACTGAAAGTCTTTCATACTTTCTCAAAAACGATACGATTTGATAATCTTGATGCAAGGCGTGTGAGCGATAACTAAATGATATGCTTATTATACATATTCCCAAAAAAACACTTTAAAAACTCAAAAAAATAATTAAAATGAATCATTTATTTTTTGGTATTTTGGTCAGACACGTATGCAATGCTGATTACCGTAATATGTGTGGTATTTGTAATAAATGTACGTTGGTACATAGAGGGTGATAAGAAGCTGTACATGGAGGGACTTAGGACCCAGGGGAATGTAGGTGAAGGAAACAGGAAGAGACGCCACACAAACAGCTGTTCACCGCTCGCTGCCTGCCGACCGGTGACAAGAGGCTGTACATGGAGGGATTTAGGACCCATGCTGCAGGACATTGTTGTGATTTCTTAAAAAAAACGTGATTAGACCGTAGGATTTAGTTGTTAGTAGGTGTTGTTTAGGTTTATTTATTTAGTTATTTATATGTATATTTTATTTTATTTTATTAGCAGAGCAGTGATGAAACTATTACCCTGAAACTGCACACTCCGGTACAGTAGGTGGCGGTATGCACCTATACAAGTTGGTTGCGATCCGCCAATCAAATTTAAAGAAGATGACTTAGGACCCAGGGGAGTGTAGGTGACGGAAACAGGAAGAGACGGAAGAGATGCCACACAAACAGCTCTTCACCGCTCGATGCCGGCCGACTGGCCGGTTCTGGTGTTAAAAATGTCCGCTTAATAATTTAAAAAAAAAAAAAACTGCGTTAACGCACGATAGAATAATTGTCGGCGTTAATTAATTAATGCGTTAACACGATAATAATGCATTAACTTGCCCAGCTAAATAGATAACACAAGTTATTTTTTTTTATTCAGGAAAAGGTCTGCGACCCACCAGTTGAGAATCACTGAGTAGGAGACAATGGTCTGTGTGACCTCTGAACCGGAACAAAAAAAACCACAACAAAAAACAGCTGGGGCTCCGCAAGTGTTCTGGGAGGCTACGCTAACTAGCTTAACGGGAAAACAACAGCAGCAACACGCATTCTGCTACACACTCGAGGGCCATTCAGATATTAGATGTAAAAAACAAATGCAGTTGACTTACCAAACTCCATCCTTTCTTTGTTGACAAAGAGTTACATCCCAGTTAAATCCCAACTCACAGATCCGTTTCTCCTCCTAGGTAAAAAAGATAATAATCTACACCAAGCAAAATGCAAAAAATTTCATAATTTCTTCCATATCTTTCAATTTGAACTCTCACTACTCCGACTAAGCCTCTGCTGTTAAGTTTTGTTTCACGTTAGTCACGTGCTCGCCCACTGACCAATCACAGCACACGCTGCACCTCACTGCAGAGCTGCACATGGAAACTGAGCTGCACGTAATGCTGACGTAGCTATAGGCCGGCTAGCAGGCTCTGACACGTCAAAGAATATGCCCAACGTGTCAAACTAAAGATCTGATTGGTTGAACACTATGACGATCAACAATATCGTTCCCATTCACTTAAACTGCAAAGGGATTCACTTGTGAGTCTGCAGGCCTCTGCCTCTCTTCTTACCTAGAGACACAGAGGTGAAATCTGATTGGATAAAAGCTCTACTTAAAACAAGCTGCACTGGAAGCAGAGCAACTGAGGAAGACAGTAGCTGTGCAATGAGAAAATAAGATAATGGGGAAAATAATTTTTATAAATTATAATACATGTATTGTATTTAAGAAAAATTATTAAATTATAAAATAGATATAACTTTGTGATTCTGTTTAGGCCAGAGAAGGCCTTGCAGGCCCTGACGGCCCACCACTGTGTGCATTGAGATACACAATTCAAATGGTTAGGAAATAAAAGATTGTATTTTCATTGGATAAAAGATCTTATTAGGCATTTTAAATATGTATTATAAGCTTCTTAGAGCTAGTGTTAGGAAGTTAAGCAGCTCATAATTCATCTCTAATATCTATTTATGTTGTTGTGAAAACATCTCCTTCAAATGTAATCTTGTAAAATGTAGCTTTGGTGAGAAAAGTCCAGATGTTTGAACACATCATGATGGCGTTATAATGTACTTTTGTCCAATACTCATTTTTTCTGAATTTAAACGCACCATGATCTAACTTGATGCAACCTAGTACCAGTTCCCCTCTGCTACTTCCTGTAATAACAGCTGTTGCTGTCAACATTACTACCGTTACCAGCTCTCCTGTCGATTTCACAGTGTCTCGTTATCAGTGAGAAAGTATTAATGCCCATCTCTAAATTGCATGTTTGTGACTTGGAGATGACTTATATAATGGCAGTTATGACCAAATCAGTAAATCCCAGCATCACTAAGAGTGCAGCGATGGACGGAGCTTAATTTGGCAAACCCCATAAGATAGTAGTTGTTTTGAGCGGCTCTCAGAATTCAGCAGTTTGGTTGACTCTTGCGTATTCTTGCCCTGCTGTTAGTTAGTAGTTGGCTTCTTTTTTTTTTTTTTTTTTTTCTTTTTTTTTTTTTCTTTTTTTTTTAGAACTGATGGCTCTAAGTTTAGATTGTATGGACCCAGTAGTAGAGGTGAAATGCTGCCCCCCATTTCTTTAAAGCAGGTGGCTGGGTATTTGTATCCTGTTGCACCTTTTTAAAACCTTTTATGCACAACGCCCCCAAATTTGGGACCTCTCAGGCTCAGAGCCCAGAGCATTTACCGTCGGAAAAATGTACATATCGAGAGCAAATATTTTGCATGTTATATACCAGATTAAACGGCAACATCTGGGCAACGCTATCATGTAAGTCACTTTTTACACACTCCAAACACAACTAATATAAGCAACTAGAAGGTGTACCACAATATCACGTATTTTTCGCCACGAGTCGGCAACCTATGCACTCCGCTTCGATACTCCAACAAAAATCGAACGGCTACACGGCCGACCAATGCACCAAAAAGCAAGAGGATTCGACACAGAATCCAGCGATATATTCAGAATTTCTCTCCGTGAAACTAGTACAAAGCTGTGAGCAAACAAACACCAGAACAACAAACCGCTTCTCCGAAAAAATCTTAGCAGCACCTCACCTTTACGAAGATTCACGAAAAGAACGGCATAATTCCCCGGTTAGCATTGTTGCTACGTACATCCTGTCTGTTTCTCATCTATTTCCTGTAGAATGGGGGGTCAACCTAACTTGTGGGACCCGGGGGTAGTGGGTCAGACTTTTGGCGAATGGAATTGTAGGCTCGGGGATGTGCAGCGGTTTTTTGATTTTTACTGGCTAAACGTTCTGTCAATCAACACCAAGCTACTCCTACTGCATTCCCGAGACTCTGACGCGTCGAAGGAGGGCTCATAGACTGAAATCGACCGATGATAGGCTGAGCTAGACCTCCATAGACACACAGCAACTGGAATTCAGATGAGAAAATCCCATGGATGAGAGCCAGAAACAGGCTCTGAGAGGATTCTGGCTCTCAAAATGATGCCAAACTGCTGTATTTGGATGTATTGAACACCATTAGTGATAAAACAAGTGAAATATATAGTTATATACTATATAAAATTACAATGGAACATGTGACAATTCTGCTTGACCCCGCCTGACCTCTCGGTACTAAAACCTATCTCTTTGTCCTGCTTCACTTTATCAAAGCCAAATTTAGGGACGCCTGACATGTTGTGCTATAATTTGGGAGAGTTTTAAGGCTTTCAGCTACATTATTTCAAAGAAATAATATCTATAAAAGTGCTTTTCTTTCAGGCAAACCTGAAACTTTTCAATTTGAGCTGTGTGCCATCTTCATTTGCTCTTAACATATACACAATATTTACACATCTGAACAAATCTCACAAGTGTTATCTGTATTATAACATCAAAATGATTCAAATAGACCTTGTAGTTACAGAATTACAGTCAGTATGGGTATGCCATTTTCGAGCAGAGGCCTAAAAATAGGCTCAGAGTAGAAAAGGTTTAAACCCAGGAAATACCACCTCATTTGTCATTTATTACTCTCACTGTTTCGATACCTTGTGGTCTTCATCATTATTTTACCGTCTCTTGGATCAGATCCTTCACAGAGATATGAAGGCAGCCAACGTGCTCATCACCAGAGATGGTGTCCTGAAGCTGGCGGACTTTGGTTTAGCTCGAGCCTTCAGCCTGGCTAAAAACAGCCAGGGGAACCGCTACACCAACCGCGTGGTCACACTCTGGTACAGACCTCCAGAGCTGCTACTGGGTAAGAGACCACCATAACTCCAAACGACACACACAGGCAGAAATGTGCTCATGCTCTCCTTCATCTTATTGCTATCTATGGATGGATGCAGTTCAATTCACTGATTTGTGTTGGTTGGTCCTGCAGCAGCACCCAATCACACGGCTGCAGCTATTCATAGTGCTACTGTGTCAATTAATTTATTCTAACTCGATCATTGCCATCAAACGTCAGAAAGGCATTCAGCAATGAATTCCAGCACGCATTGATGCTGAGTTTACAAGGTGCATCACAAATTCATTGAAATAAATAAATAAAGCACTTTTTTTCTATATTGTAATTACTTTTTTTTCTGATAGGTGAGCGGGACTACGGTCCCCCCATCGACCTGTGGGGAGCAGGCTGCATTATGGCCGAAATGTGGACCAGAAGTCCCATAATGCAAGGCAACACTGAGCAGCATCAACTCACTCTCATCAGCCAGCTCTGTGGTTCCATCACTGCTGAGGTAAGATCAGTTTAGACTGAAGTTGCATTACTTGGTGACATGCTTGTCTTCTCTGTCAACTGCATCATGAATCATTTTGGCTTTCCATCAGGTGTGGCCTGGCGTGGATAAGAAGTATGAGCTTTACCAGAAAATGGAGCTGCCCAAAGGCCAAAAGAGGAAAGTAAAGGATCGTCTCAAAGCTTATGTCAAAGACCCGTACGCCCTGGATCTGATCGATAAACTCCTGGTCCTGGACCCGGCACAGCGCATAGACAGTGACGACGCACTCAACCACGACTTCTTCTGGTCCGACCCCATGCCCTCAGACCTGAAGAACATGCTCTCCACCCACAACACCTCCATGTTTGAATATCTGGCCCCACCCAGACGGAGAGGCCACATGCCACAGCAGCAGCCCAATCAGAACAGAAACCCAGCCACCACCAGTCAGACTGAGTTTGATCGAGTGTTTTAGTGGTTGAAGAAACTTATGGATGGTACTTCTCACAATTGACAACTTTATTTCCTAACCAGCAGAATATTGAGGAAGCCACACATTCCTTTTTTGGTTGGGGTTTGGAGCTCTACTGCTCTGTGTGTATATGGCAGAGGATGCAGGTTGTTTGGGTTGACCAGGAACAGGACTTTAATATTCAATTCATGCAGAGCCCTATGCAAGCCATGTTATTATGTTCCACCTTTGTGCTTTCTCTCCAGGTAGTAATGAAGAGACTGATGTTCAACTCTGTAGACATGGCTTGGCTGTGTGCTTGGTGGCCATGATTAGACGAGGCCCAGATACCTTTTCATTGTGATTACTTGAGGAGAGATTCTGGTGGGTTTTTCCTTTTTTTTAAATTTACATTTTCACACATGATTATTGTTTTGTTTAAAAAAAATTGCCGTCTCTTTAAAGGCTGTGCAGTATTTGAGGTTTTTATTTAAACCATTTTACGCAAATAATTCACAAATGACCAAATGTTACATACCCAAAATAAAATAGTTATTACTCAACTTGACTAAGATTTTGTGTGATCATGGTATTTCCTGAGGTTTACACTCAAACACATTACATTGCAGTCAGTTAGCAGACGCTTTTCTCCAAAGCGACTTACAGTAAGTGTATTCAACATCAAGAGAACTGCTAGTCACCAGAAGTCATAAGTGCGTCTCCTTTTTTTTAAACGAGCATCTAAGAGCATGAACCAGAAGTACAGTGAAGAAACAAACTAATACAATAAGTGCAGCAAACTAGTATGAATACAATAAGTGCTAAGTGGAAGGCTCATGGTAGTACTTCAGAACACCGAAAATGTACCTTTGTGTGAGCTGGTGTTCCTGTATATTTGTTTCACAGAAACATGAAGTGTAACAAAAAGCTGGGCTTTGAATGCTCTGTTTCAAAACGCAAGAGAGCTAGAGCAATAAGACTCACAAGAGCTTGTTCCTCCTGTCCTGGTGACTGGGGCAGACTCAGGCTGTCGGATGGGCACGGGTGGAAAAACTCAAATAACAAACGCACACACACACATTGATGTGTGTTGGTGGTTGAGCTGCCATGCAAGGTGCTGGCCTGGAAATCGCGAGCAATTTTTTTGGTTCATTATGCTCAAGGACATGTTGGACTCCTGTGGCAGATTAATGTTAATCTCCATATCCAGCCTTTACAACACCACTGTAGTGTAGCCATGTAGATAAATCAAGAAGACTGTCCATCACACATTGATGAGCTGCCTCCAGTAGGTGGCAGCATGACATTACTGTATCATTGGGTAGTGCATACACATATTTGATGTGCTTTCTACTGAATTCTTGGCAATCTTCTTTCTTCTCGAGCTAATTACAATGCAACCCTTCTACCATGTCTGTTACCTGTATGTTGGAATGACAAATGTTCAAACATGTTTAGGTTGTTCTGCTTGTCCCCATTGAAGACCTGGAGTGCTTTCTGGAACAGCTGTAACCAAAACTGAATAATACGCTTCAAGCTAAATGAGTTTCATTTTGAGTCCCCGCGTATGGTTCCCTCTAGAACCTTCTGGGGGTCCAGGTAAGAACCTGTTGATCTTAAATCAAATGTATCAATTGTTCACTACAAAAACTCCTTATCAGGCCAATACTCTATCTAAAGGTACCCTGGTTTTAGTAAAGACTGCAACGGAAGTTAGATGGGTAACTACAGTTGTGTGAAAAAGTGTTTGCCCCCTTCCTTACTTCTTATTTTTTTGCATGTTTGTCACACTTAAATGTTTCAGATCATCAAACTAATTTAAATATTAGACAAAGATAACACAAGTAAACACTAAATGCAGTTTTTAAATGAAGGTTTTTATTATTAAGGGGGAAAAAGGGGGAATGTCAAAGTCATGCAAACATGGAGGCTGCCTGTGTGCCCCAGCTGGGTCATTCTGTGTCAAATCCATAGACTGTATTTATTTTTATCTATTTTTTTATTCTTGGCAATGTAAATGACAAAGACTTCAAGTAAACATAGTTAGCCTACACTACCTCCAAACAAAAGCCATGAAAACTGACCAGCAGGCAGATACGAACATGACAGCAGGGATATAGATACCCTACTACGTGTAAAAGTAGAGGAAACACACGGAGTAGACCAACAGGTCCTCTTCACTGACTATGCTCAGCAAAAACAAGGAAGGAAGAAGGACAACCTTTGATTCCATCTACGTCTGAAAAGATACTCTGCAGCATTTATGCATGTGTATCCAGTGAGGGCATCGGTCAGGAGGCAGAATAACATTCTGTAAAGATAAACACCTTGACAAGGATGAGCCTCTGCTTACCATCACATGCTACACCAAAGGAAAGGTCATGGTCCAAGGGAATGAAGCCAACCTGGAGTCATTCGAAGAGGCATTCCCCCTGTTTGAAGCTGAGGTGGACACCAAGAGAATCAATTTCCCCTCCAACAGTGAAGATGATGACAGCCAGATAGTGAAGCCCACCACCATGACCATCTCTGCCCCCCGCACACCTTCCAGCTCCACCAACCAGAGTGTGGCCCTGTTGGAGCTGGACTTTGCTGAATTCAAAGAGCTGACCCAGGTCAGACTGTCTGGCCCCCCAGACAGCACTGTGAAGCAGCTTAAAGAGGAGCTCCAGCAGCTCAAGAGAGACAGTGAGGCCTCCTCAGAGGAGGTGTAGAGGCACTCAAACAGGAGAACAGTGTGATCTGTGCTCAGTGAGCCAAAGTGAAGGAGGATGCTGAGAATATACTGTAGAAAGGACAATGACAAGTAAAGAGACACAGACTGTCTCTGCCAGTGTCCCAGACCCCTGCATTGTCTCGGCCCCAGCCCAACAATGCCTTGGCTCCTCCTGATACATCCACACAACCAGCTGTCAACAACCAGCTCTACCCATCACAGCTTGCCTTCACTCAGCCTGAAGAACAAACCCCATTAGCGGTCCTGCTCGATGAGTCTGATGGGAAATTCCTCGACACAAAAAAAGTGCTGTCTAAACGCTGCAGCACCACAGGCCAGGCAATTAAGCTGTTAAAAAAGGAGACCCTCATTAGGCCTCAGTATCTGGTGATCCACACAGGAACAAATGACCTACACATTCTCCGTAGGGACACTGCTGAGGCAGAGAGGAAGATGGCGGAGTAGGCCAGTAAGGAATTCCCAGACACCCGCATTGTGTTCTCCACCCTGTGCCTAGGACAGACACCCCTCCTCATGTCATCCATGACATTAATATGGAGATCAGAAGACGATGCCTTATCCAATGTCCACCTGGCCCTCCACCCAACCGTTGAAACCTGGGACCTCCATGATGGACTCCATCTACACAAAGAAAGGATGGGGATATATGCAAAGACCCTCAAAGACGCAGACTTTCCATCCCCTTTAGAGACTATCCCAGACCCCCTCCTCCCCATCACCACCTCAGGATCAACGCTCATGCTATGAGGAGACACTACAGTTCAGCCTTCACCACAGTAAACAGTCCTATGCTGCAGTTGTAGTCCAGCCTGCTGTCCCATTCCCTCTCCCTGCTACCTCTGAGCTGGGAGACGTCAGAGAGGTGCTGCACACCCTGTGAACCCGGCTTCTGTCCAGAGAAGATATACAAACTCAGAACACCTTCACACTTGAGTAACAGAACAACATGGAAATATATTGTTGTAATAGTAGTCAGTTCTTAGTAATGTTAGTGAAAATGGTACATGTCTCCGGGAAATTCAGATCAATAATTATTCCGCATTGTGAATATATAAATAGTTGTAAGAGTTTTCATATTTATCTCACTGTACAGGTTAAGTACAGGTTAATTTTGATTGCTTCGTTTTCTTTTTATTGCGTTAATTATATATAAATTGTTGGAATATTCAGGGCTTAACGCCTCCCCCTTTGAGCTAAAGAGTGGAAACCCTGAATCCATAGAATCTATCAAAGATGTTGATGTAATTATATTAACAGACACATTGAGTCAAAATGAACTTCTCCCTCACTATCCTCCAGGATATAATGAAGTAATGGTGCCCTCTATAAAATTCAAAAATATGCGCAAAGGCAGATCATCGCGGGGGATCTTGGTGTGTTATAAAGGAGAACTTTGCCATCAGATGTCACTAGTAAAACATGGTAAACTCAGCATTTGGTTGGGGTTAGATCATTAAGAAATCACCTATTTCCAGGTCTAGTGAAATGTACTTCTAATTGGAGTTCTGAAAGGACGAACAGGAATTGAACCTGATATCATCCACCCACAGGACAACCACCATGTGTTTGGTGAGCCCCCCCCCATTTACAACCCAACAGTTACCCATCAGTACAACCTTGACTCTGAAATAAATCAAAGAGGCTTTAGGTCTGTTAACGGGAGGTTCACAGACTCCTCAGCTCTTGGGTCTAATGTAGTACATTATGCAATCATTGACATTGACCCCTCCACTATCAGTGCATTGACTGTCAGACGACAACCAAATAAACGTCTTCTTTAAACTCTCGGGTCAAGTGAGTGACACAAAAAGGGAATCCAGTCAAATGTATGAATGAATTTCTACTTACAGATGTGCACCAGATTGGAGACACATTCATAATGGGCTGAACTCAACTAATCCATTAGATGACGTGTCAATATATGAACAAAGGACCCTGGACAAGAGTCTGAATCAAAATCAATATGTCTCTACCAGAGATGGTGTAAACAAGGCCATTGATGATATCAATATGATATTTCATAAGACAGCTATTAAAGCTGACCTTAAGGCAAAATGGTGACACGTTTTTTTTAACAAGAATGTAAGACCTGAGAAAAATAAAAAAAAGACAACAAACCCCTTGATTTCCCAACTACGTGGGAAGAATTGAGCACACAGACACGATCTCTCCGCTAAGGGAAGCTTGCGGCCCAGACAAAACTAACAACTAAATGTCAAATGCAGCATCGTATTGCAGTCAGGATGTTTTCCTGACATCTGGTGCAACAGTGTTATCTCCTCCATTCATAAGAGTGGGGACAAATCAGACCGCGTATCAGCAGTGTCAAGGTCAAACATTCGGTTGTATTCTGAATAAAAGAATACTAGATTTCCTTCATGAACACTTCATCTTCAGAAGAAATACAATTGGTTTCCTCCCAAAACACCGACCATGTACAGGATATAGCCTTCACACGTTCATTATCAAACACGTACACCAAACATCCATCCATCCATCCATCCATTTTCCTCCGCTTATCCGGGGTTGGGTCGCGGTGGCAGCAGGCCAAGCAGGCTGACCCAGACCTCCCTCTCACTGGCAACATGTTCCAGGTCATTCTGGGGGATCCCGAGGCATTCCCAGGCCAGCTGGGAGATGTAATCCCTCCAGCGTGTTCTGGGTCTTCCCCGGGGTCTCTTTCCAGTTGGACGTGCCTGGAAAACCTCCAGTGGGAGGCGTCCAGGAGGCATCCTAATTAGATGCCCGAACCACCTCAGCTGACTCCTTTCGACGCAAAGGAGTCGACTCCAAGCTCCCTCCTGATGACCGAGCTCCTTACCCTATCTCTA